ACTAAATATCTGGATTATGCATGCACATGTTGATTGTTGATTTACACACTGTGATTACTCTGTACTATAAGAAAGTAATATTCAAAATTATTATGTGTTGACTTATTTTTTGTTGGGTTTATTGGTGTTCGAGAAATAATAATAATAATAACAGAATTTTATTTATACTGCACAAATAACAGATTTTACATCCTTAAAAAAAGTACAGTTTAGCACGCAAATACACATTACAAACAATGACTAAGCATTATAATAAATTATTATACTAAATTATCATCAATTTCCCGATAAACTTCAGTCTTTGTACTGAGGAAAATATCTATATTATTATTATTATCTATATAAATTGATTAACACTCTTTAGACATCTATTTAAAGGAGTGGACAAATTAGGTACCTACCTTAAAAGTAATGTTTCCTTGCTTTAACTTTACATCAGGTACATTGAAGTTTCTATATGGTAACATAACAACTCAGGTACATCCTCAGATTAACACATGAAATAGATAGGTTTATTATGATTAAAAAATGCCCCAAACATTGACTTACATTCTAAGATCACTTGCGGACACTTACATATTTATAAATTGTCCTAAGTTGCAGGGAAAATGGAATTGGAAATTGAAAAAAATATATCGTAAATACAGGGTGTCCCACGGTGGATGGCGTATTAGACGTTTATGGAGAACTAAAAAGCGGATCATTTTGAAAATTTGGCAACCGGGATAAACGACCATGATCTACACTTTAAAAATATTTTTGACCATGCGGTGTTGCCGCTTCTACTCTAAACTAGTGGCAACATCACTATTTTAAATGGAACACCCCGTATTAAATTGCATATTTGGATTCTACGTAAAATTCTAAGCAGATTTCATATGATATACCCTATACCTAAGTTCAACTGTTTTGGAAATATTGACAGTTGAAAATTGACTTTTTTTAACTTTGACAGGCTGTAGAACCTGAACGGTTAATTTTAGAGGAAAACCGATTTTACATTCCCATCTTAGATTTTGATAAACTATCATTTAACACCAACTTTGAACTTAACCAGAGATTAAATTTAGCTGAAATTTTTAATCATGGATTTAATTACGTGGTGTTACTGTTCTAGCTTCGATCGAACTAATCTATATATATAAAAATTAATGCCACTTTTCGTTGTAATTTTATAACTCAAGAACGGGCTCACCTAGCCAAACCAAATGTTTAGGCTTTGTTCGGACTATTTATTAGATGGTTTATGTGAAGTTTGCACAAAATCGGTCGAGCGGTTCTTAATCTATCACATTTTTTGTAATAAATGAATTATTCAATAAATGGAGGATCATTTTGTTAATGGGGATTTTGCTGTCAAATTGAAACTTTTTTCAGCGTTGACAGTACCAGCATGTTGTTATGTCATTAATGTGGTCATTTCATTACTTATTTTATTTATTTATGAAAAACATTTACTAAGCCCGCATACGGCGCCATCTCTTATAACCGATATCAAGTTTATTTTGTATTTTGTATACCGCGCCATCTCTGATACTTGGAACGAAGCTCGGCATTGCAGATACAATAGAACAATGCTGCTCAGGAACTGGAGCTATTTCGAACAGAACTATTCCACTATTCCGATCAGATAGAGTGGTGCAGAAAGAGTAGATCAGATAGAGTAGTGCGTATAGAGTAGAACAGATGAAGTAGTGCAGTGCATGCAGTGCAGATAGAGTGAAACAGGGCTGCGCTAGAGATTTTTTTTGTTTTCTTCACATTCTTTGAACATTCCTGTGCCTGAGTTTATTTATTTGGTACACTTTACAAGAATAATGCCAACAAGCTGCCTAAAAAAGGATGATGTAAAATTTTAATTTTAGGTGACTTCTGATCCAGAGAGTAAACATTAATTTTCTTCAACCAAAGCCAAATGCACCATCTAAAAAAAAACTGAATTTAATTCAGCCAATAGATACGTTAACACAACATTTAATAGGTATATTTAATAATTCAGAGGCGGTACGAAGTTCGCCGGGTCAGCTAGTGAGTTATATATCAATCAGAAAATGTTTGAATTTTCAAAATTATTACAGGTTCTCATATCACAAATCCCAGCTTCCTCATAGCATCAGCATGAATTTTGTCGATATGATAAGCAAAAGATGGATTTTTTCAGAATAATATACCTAAATCTAGAATTTTTTCAACTCGATGTAGTTTGACATCACGGATTTACACTCATTTAAAATACGATTTTGACTACGACAGAAGCCAATACATTTACATTTACCAATATTTAGTGACAGTCTGTTATTATTTTTTTTTTCAAATTAATACAATTTGTAGTACTCCTATACCTTGACCCAGATATAGGCACACCATAACAGTTGCGTAGGTATTACAATCTACAATCATTCAGATTAAAGCTAGGATTAAAGAGATCATACAACAATAAGTAGATAAAAATTTCATAAAACTACTGCCTCCTCAAAGCTCAGAGATTACAAATAGATCAACATCAATAATGTTGCAACTCTCCATGATTCTATTCACCGCAATGTTTCGACCGTAACACATTCAATGCTGCTGCGTTTGAAAAGTTTTATGATTTCTTAATGATCTTGGGGAAACGTAAAAGTCAAATTGGCGAAGTTCCGAGCAGTCTATAGAACCATTCAGAATTTTGTGTACGAATAGTACATCTAAATTCGACCTCCTAGTCTCCAATAACTGAATATTGAGAAATATCTCCAATTCACTGAAGTCTATGTGGTTGCAAGGGATTTTTAACTTAAAGGCAATGTAATGCAAAAACCTTCTCTGAATCGACTCTAAATTTGAAACTTTTTGAAAAAATGGGGACCAAATGACACTTCAAAATTCTAGCCAGGCCAAAATACAATATTTTCAAGGCATTTAAATTAGTAAAGTCCTGTGTATTTTGTAAAAATGAAGCCTAACATTCGTAATGCTTTGCTCCTACAAAAATTCAATTGATCAGCAAAACTGAATTTAAAATCAAAAACAATTCTCAAATCTTTCACTACCTTCTCGAGCTGAGTCAAGCTAAAAAAATTGTCGTCTGATTCCACAACAACATCCCTAGGAAAATTATAGTTATTTATGTACCAAGCCTTGTAAGTGTTACTTTTTTGGCCGAGGATGCAGTTTGCGCGCCGAGGCCCGTAGGGCCGAGGTTTGCAAGCATTTGAGGCCAAAAAAGTACACGCTACAAGTCGAGGTGCATATGATATTTTTTGTGCTACCGTACATTCAAGATAATAAATATCATTCCAATATTTTAAGTTCTTCAATACAGGAAAGTGTCCCTGTGTTAAATGTGACTAGTTGTAAAAATGTTTCTTTTACTTTCAATATTACAAAGTAAATAACTATGAAGTATCTCATTTTTATATTATTACCTATCTGTTTATGCTAATTTCAACTTTTTGACGTCTAGGTATTTTCTATTTGTTTCAATAAAATTGTATCCTTAATTTGTTTTGGGTTTTTTATTTAAGAAGTCGAGTGTTTTTGTGACATTATTTTGACAGATATATGAACCAAGCAATTTTCACCTTTCATATCAACACTTTTTTGGCCTGGTCAAAAAAGTACACGCTACAAGTCGAGGTGCATATGATATTTTTTGTGCTACCGTACATTCAAGATAATAAATATCATTCCAATATTTTAAGTTCTTCAATACAGGAAAGTATCCCTCTGTTAAATGTGACTAGTTGTAAAAATGTTAGTAACTTTTTTGACCCGGAGTGTAAGTGACACTTACAGTTCATGGACGTAGGTCAAAAAAGTCAACTTACAGAATGGGTAGCACAAAAATATATTTACACTTATCTATGTTAGGGAATAATCTATTTTTGTTACACCAAGCATGAAAGGTGTCCAAGTCCTTTTGGATTATAACTGTATCCTTATTTGATTCAATCCTTGAAAAAAATTTCAGATCATCTGCGAACATTAAAAATTGATAGAAACCACAGCAAGATGAAATATTATTAATAAAAATGTTGAGCATAAGTGGAGCCATGTGAGCCTCTTAGGGAACTCTAGAGGTAACTTAGATTGGAAGTGAACAATAACCATTAATTGTAACTATTTGTGTACGTTGACTCAAGTACGATTCAATCAATCTAAGTAAGGTGCCATGAACACCAATACGATGAAATTTCTAACTAAGTAAAATATGATTAACTTTGCCAAATGCCTTCGAGAAATCTGTGTAGATTGAATTATCTTCACAAAAAGTTAGGATTTTATCTACATCCTTCTATAGAAGTATTGCATCATTTTCGTTTTCAATAATTTTGAAGATCTTTAAATCATCTGCATATGGTAACTCTGACCTACTTACCAACACATAATTAGATATGTCATTAACCAACAACACAAAGAGCAGCGGTCCAAGAACGGATTTCTGGAGGTACCCCAGACACGGCCACATAGCTCTGAGAGTTAGCTTCATCAAATTTGACAGTTTGAGGCCTATCGCCATGTATGAGACCAAATAACGAATCAGATTATCACTAAATGAGAATTGCTTCAGTTTCCTTATAAGGACATCATGGTACACCTTGTCAAAGGCCTTCGCTAGGTCCGTATGCACACAACATCAACCCATAGGCCACTGCTCACATGTTTAGCCAAAAACTCCTTAAACACACTAAAATTGTTGGAGCAGAATAACATGATTGACATGATTAAAAATTCGTTTGTGTAGTATTTTTTCAAATATTTTTGAAAGCGCTGATAAAACGGTAACTGGCCTGTAATAACTTGTATGTCCTGATTTATGAGTAGGAGTAACTCTAGCAATCTTTAACTTGTCTGGAAAACATCAATATATTCGGTAACTCAAGCCTCTGGTTAGGGATAAACTGAATTGAGAACAGAAACAATGTTCCAAATAACAAAAATCAGATCCCTTGATTCTTGAATTTTACCACGCATCATAAGTAATTAAGATTGGGCATAAATAGTATTTTTTTTTACAGGGGATGACATAAAGCCATGCCCTCGTTGTCAGGTGCTGATTGTAAAAATGGATGACGGCTCGTGCAATCACATGTTATGCGCTGTTTGTGGTGCTGAATTTTGTTGGCTGTGCATGAAGGAAATTAATGACCTTCATTTCTTGAGGTATTCAATTTTTAGAATTTAAGTGATAATGATTGGTGAAAAAAAAACAATTATTTTCTAGTCCTTCTGGTTGTACATTTTGGGGAAAGAAACCCTGGTCTAGGAAGAAGAAAATTCTTTGGCAGCTCGGCACCCTTGTTGGTGCTCCTGTTGGTATTGCTCTAGTCGCCGGTATCACCGTTCCCGCAATGGTTATAGGTAAGTCATAACGCAAATAACATTTTCATGTAGTAGTAGCAACAAAAAAAAAAAAATTGATTTAATACGTAGTATCATTTCAGGCATTCCAGTTTGGGTTGGCAAGAAGCTGTTTGCAAGATATAGGACTGCGAATAGGCATAAGAGAAATGCAGCTATTATTGGTGGAGTAATTGCATCGGTAAGTTTAGTATTTATGTTTAACTTTTAAATAAATGAATCTATTAAGAATAAGAAATTGGTTTTTGAACATTACGGAGAATAGGAGTTATTTTATTCTCTCCTAAAAGCAACAAATTACATTAATATATTACTAGTTGAATGATAGTCAGTATAATCTGGTTCTGATCAGAGAAACCTTTTTTTTTGACTGCATGGAAGTCAGACATCTGATGATGCTACAAACACAGTATAGCGAAACATGAAACATGTTAGCTAGTGTTAATAAATATGGTCAATTAATTTTACTCTACCCAACTATGGATTTCAATTTAAATTTTTCTTCTTGGCCCAGTGAATAGGCTCGTTCAGCATATTTTTTTTATTACATATTCTAAAAGAGCGTATTGAGTTTAGCAGTTGTGCAAAATTTCATAATTTTCCGAGCCCTTGTTCATATTTAAATAAATTATCAAAAAGCTCCAAGTTTGGAAGTTTCGAAACACGCGGTGACGTCACTGCATCTCTCAAGTTGGTCGTGTGACGGCCTTTAGCCCGTCTTGACTCGAGAGATGACGTCATACCATCTCTAAGCGATGAATTTCTGAGGCATAATGTTTTATTATTCAAAGCCGCATAGCTTTTTTAATATTTATCCAATTGCGCTGAATTTTTTTTTGTGTGCTATATGTGAGTAATACTCCATAAAAATATCAAAAAACGTGGTTAATGGGACCTCACTGAACGAGCCTATTGTAAATGGGGCTAGTGTTTGTTTTGGGAAAGTAATAAAAATGTATACTTCTATAAACACCCAATATACACAACAATTAGAAACAAAAGTAGATTTCTGTCGGCCCAGGTAATAGTATATACCGAGAGGAAAAGTGTTTCTAACTAACTAACTAAAATCTCGAGACATTAATGAAACTTTTAACCGAGGTACTGTCCATCGTTTCTAATCTGACACTTTCCGTATGAGGAGCGAGGGGTTGAAGCATATGGCAAAAATCGGTGTGACGTCAGGTGACCATTGGCGATCTAATGTAGGGTGTCACAGGCTCACATTCCGTTGGAGTATCAGATTAAAATCGATGGACTTTATGTATAATATTTTATTTACTATCATTCGAATTTTGTAATTTTCATTTGAATGAAAACAAAAAAAATAATGCAAATGACGTCATGACGCAAGGAAATTGTCATAACGTAACAGGTTTCTATTGGTTTAATTTCAGTGTTGATAGATGGTAGCACTTCCGACAAGACAAAATAATTTGAGCACAAGTTTCAAACCTATCTTTTATTTTCTACTAGCATTAATAAAAAAAATTCTATACAGGGTGTCCCACGGTGGATGACGTATTAGACGTTTATGGAGAACTAAAAAGCGGATCATTTTGAAAATTTGGCAACCGGGATAAACGACCATAATCTACACTTTAAAAATATTTTTGTTTATACGGTATTGCCGCTTCTATACCTATACCTAAGTTGAACTGTTTTGGAAATATTGATAGTTGAAAATTGACTTTTTGCAACTTTGACAGGGTGTATAACCTAAACGGTTAATTTTGGAGGAAAACCGATTTTACATTCCTATCTTAGATTTTTATAAACTATCATTTGACACCAACTTTGGATTTGATCCATGATTAAAAATTCCAATTAAATTTAATCTCCGGTTAAATTCAAAGTTGGTGTCAAATGATAGTTTGTGAAAATCTAAGATAGGAATGTAAAGTCGGTTTTCCTCTAAAATTACCCGTTCAGGTTTTACAGCCTGTCAAAGTTGCAAAAAGTCAATTTTCAAGTGTCAATATTTCCAAAACAGTTGAACTTAGATATAGGGTATATCTCATGAAATCTGCTCAGAATTTTACACAGAATCCAAATATGCAATTACATACACAAGAGCTTGGTGGTAGCCCCGAAACAATTTATATGCGACGTTGCAATTTTTGGCATTTTCATGTTTGGACTGGAATCAGCGCCACGCCACGCCACCCCAATACAGTTTTTTATTATTATTATCCTGGCCTTTTGAGTTTTGAGTGGATAGAGAATATAATAATCTTTCATAATTTGATAATTGAATAAAATTGAAACTACAAATTTTGTATTTTGAAGCACTGCCTTTTGATTGGAGTGGAACTGGAAACTCGTTTATGTTCCTACAGGGCCAGGCCCTGCGATCTCTCATTGCCAGTTATAAACCACATAAATAACTCTTTTCCGTTTTTCTAGATGTCGCTAACAACCACAGAATTGTCAAAATTGGAAAATACCAGCACATCAAGAACACGTCCGATGTCGATAACTGACATATCAACAAGTCAACATATGACAATATGCCACAATAATATTCACCCTAATATTTATTTGATCATAACTAATAATTCATAATGTTTTTCGTTTGCCGGTCTTGCATTTCATCTTTCTTTGTGTTGTCAAGTGTTCTTAAGTGATTTCAAAGTTGTTTTGTGTGTTTCAAGAAGAGCTTCAAACTTTATAGATTGGAAGATCTATTTTTATCTTTGTTGATTAGATAAATGACAGGTTCAATTAAACATCAATCAGAACTTTGAATAAATATGTTGAGGATCCCTTAACCATCGACAAAGAAACTGTCTTTTGATCTAATTAACAAATTATCAATTAATTTAAGCAAACATTAATGCCCCAAAGTCTAGAATAAACGAATTTGAACAGACCGACAGTAATGCGAACGGGGCACCATCTATCACAAAAAGTTCTATGTAAAGTAGGTGTCTGTAGCATCGATGCAAAACCAGTAAATAGTGATTTTCCGATGTGCTAGATGGCGCTGGCTTGGCTCAATTTTGTTGACAATAAAATTTACACTGAGATTCCATTCTCGACAGTTTATATAGTATTTATCTCTGTACAGGGCGGAAAATGTTTTCATATCAAATTCAGAAAAAAATAGTTATTTTTCTAACAAGTGCGGGAAATACCATTTCTCGCAAGTGTTAAGCCTAGTACTCATAACAGCGAAATTAGCTCTTTTTGACATTCCTTCGATAATTTGACGTTTTATGCGTGAATCAAACGTTAAATTGTCGAATCAATGTCAAAAAAGAGCGAAGTTCGCAGTTATGAGTACTAGGCTTATAGGAAACCAATTTTTCCCAAGGGTTTGCGGAAAGATTACTCTTTGTGCATGCCAAAAGTTTTTTTTTCCGCACATTCGTAGGAAAAAAACGGATCATCTCATCTTAGTTTCAGGTGTCCAGAAAATGGCAGAGATTATCCTGTTTTCAATCCCTAGTAGGACTGCTTATTGAGCTGAAAGTGTCTGCCAACTGCTATGTCAGCTGCATACCTTAACTCTTGGAGTAAAATGCATAATTCGAGTTCAAAGCACACAAAAAAATGAATTCCTAAACGTTAAAATCTTGTTAAAATCACCTTTTCTACATTTAAAATCGACGAAAAATTCAAATAACTAGCACAGCCAGGATCGCAAGCCTTCCATCAAGGTCTGCGGGTGACGTCAACACTATAAGCAGCTGTGGCGATGTCACTCGCAGACCCTGCCTGCTCAAGAATTGGTGTTCGTAGGCCTTATTAGGATGAGCAATCCTGTTTACGATTGTTGTATAAAATTATCGAAAATTCCAATAAAATCTAAATCTTTCTTCGAACAAACAAACAAGCATCTGCAAAAAGTTTTTTTCTGATCATTGAAAAATTAACAATTCTCGTCAAAAATCATTTTCTGTAACTTGGAAACATTACCTACATATTTTAAAAACTGCTGTTTTTGTCACTCGTTAAACAGTAAACATTGTCCGCACCTGTTAAGAAAATCTTACCCAAACAAAATAATGTACTTTGACGTCAATTTGGCAACGCAGCACTCCTTACCTTAACCTTTTAGAATTGTTTCGGGGCTCCCACCAAGCTCTTGTATTACATACAGGGTGTTCCATTTAAAATAGCGATGTTGCCATTGGTTAAGAGTAGAAGCGGCAACACCGCATAAACAAAAATATTTTTAAAGTGTAGATCATGGTCGTTTATCCCGGTTGCCAAATTTTTAAAATGATCCGCTTTTTAGTTTTCCATTAACGTCTAATACGCCATCCACCGTGGGACACCCTGTATATCCCTCGGTAGAGAAAGTCATTATATACCTTCCGCATTATATATATATATACAGTGAGGGGCAGGCTACTAGGTATATAGGATGTAACCTGACGAATTTGCAGGCGTCCACATGCCGCAAAATGACAAATCCTTTCAGCATTCAAACGTAAAAAGACCTGTCACTCAAAAAAACTATCATTAGGGCCGGTTTATTCACCTTCTGATAAACTGCCAGGTATGCAATCTGACCGATAAAAACGCAATCTGTAATTTCATTGGTCGGCCAGTTATCCGCTGAACAATAGAATTAAAGAACGGTGAATTTATCTTGCAGATAGTTACTAGCAAGTTTATCTGAAAAAGTCAAAATTGTTCAGTGATTTCACGGTGGTACCTAATTCATTACAAGTTGGAAATGTATTTAGTAAAAATTATCCTGATAGACCTCTTTCTGCAATTACCACTGTTTCTAGGGTTATTAATAATTTTAAAAAATATGAAGGGTGCGTTTCTCTCTGAAACTATGACCGGGGTAACGTCCAGGAAAATAATGAGGAGCAAGAAGCAAGAGGAATTATGTTGTTGGCATTAGTTAACGAAACTCCAACTATGTCCTAAGTACAAGCACGATGACTACGATGAGGAGGCTACTGAAAAAAAAAATATGATTCGTAATTCCCAAAGACTTAATCCTGAGGACAGGCGAATGGAGTTAAGTGAAACTGTGATGAATAAAACAAATGAAAAAATAAAGCTTTTATTACAAAAATTGTCTTCACAGATGAATCAACATTTCAACTCCATGGTCAAACTAGTGACACCCTTTATTGATTCAATGAAACTCTCAACAAGATAGTTGTCCACTGTTCAGTCCATAATACGGGATTCATTCTAGATTCGGTTCGAAAA